AGATAGATAGATAGATAGATAGATAGATAGATAGATAGATAGACACACACACAAATAAACCAGGAAGCAGTCCTCAGACCTAAGCAAATAATGATGAGATGAAGACAAATTAGGTAGAACCAATTCTCATGGGACAGATGTCTCTTGCTTAAAAAAAAATAGCTCTGCTAGCTTTGATTCTTACTGGTATGACACTGATGAATCACTTGATCTCTTAAAGCCTTAGTTTCCTCATCTATATAACAGTGATGCTCATATTTGCCTTACCTACTTCACAGGACTGGTTATGAGAAAAGTGCTTTGTAAGCTGGAAAGACCCATAGAAACAACAATTACTATTATCACAGAATTTTAGAGGAGAAAGGGACCTCTATTGCCATGTAGTCCAACCAATATCCTAAAGTAAAGGTTCTTGACCTGAGGTTCACACATCCAAAAGTGGTCCATGGACAGATTTCAGAAAATCTGAGAACTTTTTTTTAATATTTTTGATAACTGTATTTCAATAAATTGGTTTCCATTGTAATCCAACATTTTATTGTGTTTTAAAAGCATTATTCTGAAAATGAGTCCATAGATTAGATTAAGCACTCAAAATGTGCCAAGCACTGTAGCAAGTGCTAGGAATACAAATACAACTTAAAAAACCTCTCTGCCCTCAAGGAACTTACATTCTAATGGGGAAAGACAACATAAAAGGAAGCTGAAAAGCACCCCTTCACCTCCCAAGGTGAAAGAGTAGTTCAAAGTCTGCACTGGATGAGAAGTGAACACGGCTGGCATGGGAACTTTCAGGGAAGAACTCACAAATACTAGAAGGAAGCTGCAGGAGTGGAGGGATTCCCAGGGGGTGAGAGTTGCTAGGGACTTTACTGGACAAAAGGGTTCCACTACATACACAAAAAAGATTAGGAGCCTCTGTTCTAAAGGAATCCTCAACAAGTGGCGATCTAATCTCTCTCCAATGAGGGGGAAGCCACCACCTTCCTAGTCTATTTTGAATAACTTTATTTGTCAGGAGCTCATTCCTGACATCAAGGCTAAATTTGCCTCTTTACATCCTTCACCATTGGTCCTGGTTCTGCCCTCTTGAAAAAAAAAAAGATATTACTTTCTAAATCACGGCTTTATAGTAAAGAATGTGTGGATTATGGCGAGCTGCTCAAAACTCATTTCCCTCAACATAACTCACGGCACACATTGCACATGCTGGTTTCAAGAGAAAACCAGATGAGAACGCAGAGAGTGCTCAAATCACATTTTAAGAAGCTAGTATGAATCATACTGATCAATCGATAGATCATGGAAGGGCATATCGCATTGCTTCAAAGTAAATTGATTGGAATTTTATTTTTAGGGTATTCTATTTTAGTTAATTTAGTTAACTGTTAATTTAGTAACTGTTCCCTAGTCTCTGCTGCCATCTGGTGGTGAGTCCTTTATTCAGGGTTCTCTCTTTTCAAATCAAGCTCAGTAGGCTTTCACTACTAACTCACAGCTGGAAGGGACCTTAGAAGTCATGGAGATCAACCTTCTGATTTTACATATGGGGAAACTGAGGCTCATAGACACTGAATGTCTGGCCCAAGATTACACAGGTAGTAGAGCTGGGGTTTGAACCCAAGTAGTCTAAATAAATCTAGTTGCCATATTGGAAGGTCAAGTGTTTATTTAGAGCAGGAAGAGCCCTCAAATGTCATGATGTTTAACTCCTTCATTTGGAAGATGAGGAAATTGGGGATCAGAAAGGTTCAGTGGCTTGCTCAGGGTCACACAGGTATTAAGTAGCAAAGCCTGGATTTTGCCCAACTCAGATCAGCATATTAGTGCTGATAAACTAATGTTTTACTTCTGCCTTTATATCCCCAATGCCTAACGCAGTGCCTGGCCCATAATGGTTGTTTTGTAATTGCCTATTGATCAATTGCCCAAGAGTGGCATAGGAGCAGAGCCACGACTTGAACCTCTTCCTTCTGTGTATTCTCTGGTATTGAGCATTTATCCCCAATGAGTTTAACACTGATTAAGTAACATACTTTTTATACTATTGGAGAGGTTCTACAAAAGTTCCTGATGGTGCATAACACTGCATTGAATAGATCAAGCCCAAAAACACTACAGGGATGTATATCAGTGAAGCCCCCAGTCACTCAAAAGAGATCAACATAGCAATTTACACAGTATGGAGAATGCATATTGCCTAGAGTATGACATGAAACTGAATGGGGAGCCCATTGAATTAGACCACTAGTACATGGAGGACAAGGATGATGTAGTAAAAAGTGTTGAAATTGAGGTCAACAGTCCGGGATTCAAATTCTGTCTCAGATAGTTTCTAGCTGTATGACCACTGGCAATCAGTCTTCCAGAACCTCAGCTTCATTATCCACAAAACAAGGACATTAACACTTGCACTACCAATCTCACAGGGTTGTTGTGAGGAAAGTACTTTGTGAACCTTGAAGTGTTACAGAAATATGAGCTGTTTTTAATGCATCAGGAGAGTGGACAAGAATCCAGTCCTCAGAATGAGGATAGAAGGTTCTGCCTGATGGGGGTTTTGGTGAGCCTAGATGTGCATAATGACCCAATTCAGAGTATACACAAGTATTCTGTGACTCTTTTCTGCATGCTGAAGAAAAACCTTTTAATTAGCTGTTGAGAAAGAACTAAGAGTACCTACAGAAGACTATCACGGAGAAACTTGGATCTCCTGGTAGCGATGAAGGGAACACATGCCAGAAACCTCCAACTCCATGTCTCCTGTGCTACACAGCGACCCATGAACAAAGTGCATCGATGTTCCTTTATCTCTTTGTGTTTGTTCTTTCTGCTCTTAGGCAAATGAGTGCAGGAGACAAACCAGATTAGGTTATGACTTTGTGAGACCAGAAGAGCCAACGCAAGCCTAGGAAATGGATTCCACGGAAGAGTTGAAGGTCCAGCCTTGAGCACCCTGCAAGGAAGGGAGCAACTGGTCCCCAGGCAAGGCAGCCTCCAAATGTGAATTTTTTGGTGGAAACGTTAGCAACAGTCGCTCTAAGTCTGAAGCCACTTTCCCCAGGGACCGAGGGAGTAAAAGGGAGGAGTGTACTCCAGTTCAGAGAGATAAGTTTGTGCTTCTGTTCTTGCTTTGTCTTCTCAGTAAAGTTACTCGGTGCTAATTGGCTATCAATGATATTGAACATATATCAATGGGTTAAACTGTTATGAAGTGCTAATTACTGGTGATATTAGGCAAGGAACATATAGAAATAAGATCTCAAGTCTAAAGCACTAAAAGAACTCCACCGGCCATCAGCTATACTCTAGGAACATGATGGGGAGATGTAGCCAACCTTACTGTGAAAACCCATATTATCTATACATTACGTCAAGAGCTTACCTCCTTATCTTGGAGTCACAGCCTTAGCTTAGTTTGTAGGAGGTAGGAAGACCTGCCTCTGACACTCCTGGCTATGTGACCTAGGGCAAGTTCACTGATGCCCTGAAAATCTACCCACAGGACACACAAGGAGTCCACAGACCCTCAGTTAAGAAACCTAGAGTTAGATAATCTCTAAAAAGTCCCTTCCAGCTCTGACATTCTAGGTTTCTCTTTTATAATTTTTTTAACCATTCCAATAATGTGAAAATAAAGAATTAGAATGTACTTTGAGAAAAGGTGGCCATAACTAAGAGTAAACTCTTCAAAACTTTAGCTGACATAGAAATTAAGACATAAATAAAAATGACAATTTTCAGATTTTTCAAATAATTTTAATTCTTAAAAATTTCAATTGTATATAAATTTCACAACTCATTCATGAGCAGGTATCAACAGCAAAACCAGTCAATAACAAATAAAGTACCATGTAAGTACCATACAAAACAAAAACCACCAAAAAAGAATTAGGCACTTTTAAAAATCAAACATTTTAGTAACAAATGAAATAATCCAATACTGTGCTGAATCCAGGAATAGACTTTGCTGTTCAAGAATATTTACAGGCTTTTAAAAAGCTGCCCAACTTTGTAGAAATATGAATGCTCATTAACTATTATGACAAATCTTTAAACTTACTTTCTAAATGCTGAGGAAACAAGAGAAGCATATGAATGAATGTTGGCAGTCCAGACAATACTGACCCTAGACTATCAACTCTTGAAAAAAAAAGAAAAGCAAAAATTAAACAAAGTTGAGAAAAACCTTTCCTATACTTTGCCCAGAAACTTCAAGGCTTTACCATTTTTTCTCCCTCTTCTAACAAATCAGTAGTAGTATACATGCAATTCTCCTGGAATCTTTTAACAAACATAAACCTTCACTCTCCTGTATTAAACTTTCCGGGAATCCCAGAATCACTTAGTTCCCAAGAATGTAAGTCAAGACCAAGCCACAGCATTTTGATAATGGATTCCTTATATAACACTTCTTAATCTCAATAGTCTCTAAGCAATATAATAAAAGAAAGGGCTATCTAACATTAAGAATTTCACTCAATTAAGTTAATAAAGTTTTAATGGCTCATGCAAACATAACCTTGTAACAAACCCTTTTTCCTAACCGCAAAGAAGAATTGGCCTGATGGATTTCCAGTAGTAATTTTAGAGCAAGCAAAGTAATACTTAACAGAGTGATGACCTGGCCTTCACTTGTCTATAAAGAGGGAAAGTCCACAGTGAACCAGTGACTTATCAATTTTAAACAGGTAAAAGGAATGTAAATGTGTCACAATTTAAAGCGATATTATATTAACTTTCCTGTGACTAAAAACTACTCAAATTTAATAAGTAAACTTCCACCTTTACACTGAAGTCTTTAAACATCAAAATCTTTGCTGACCCACTGAGAATTTCACAGAAATAAATGTAAGCTGTATTGTTTATGATTCCCCACCTTCAAAAGTTACTGCAGAAATACTTATGTCTTCCTAATTGTTCCTCTCAAAGTTCCATTAATGTGTTTGTCATAGTTCACCTCTCTGCCTTGAGGTTCGATTATCTTCTTTAAAGGAACTAGTTTTCTTATCTCCCTCCTTTTTCTTTTTTTCTGGCTTTGTTTTATTTTTGTCTTTACTTCCTCCTTTGCCAGGGTATACCTGCCCCTCCAAAGTTACATCAGCACATCTCTCTTGGCTTATCAAAAAGTCTTTGATCTCCCAAGCATAGCTCCCATCTCGGAGCATAAAGATAGCACGATCTGACCCAACAATAAACCTAGAAGAAAAGAAAACATCAATTAATGTTATGGTTTTAACATGTTAAAATGATTCTTTAATGTAATGGGGAAAGAGGTTCTTACTTCAGTATTTCATATACCTTAAACAGAAAAATATTACAATGTATAATCTTAAAGTCTAACTGTATCTTTTCCTAAAGTTTCTAATTACACAACTATGTATGAATCTGTTTGATTTAACAGACATTCATCATGAACCTACAATGTGCAAGGCACCATACTAGAGTTCAAAGGTCTTGGGAGTATAAAGATAAATCTGTAAAGTCCCTGACCTCAAGGAACTTACATTTTAATGGAGGATGCAACATATTTGAAAGCATTAGTTTGCTTTTGGAAAGATTTAACAACCCTAATCAATGCTATGATCAACACACAATTCCAGAAGACCAATGAAGATGCAGCATGCTACCTACTTTCTGAGAGAGTGGCGATGGACTCAAAGTGCAAAATGAGGAATACATTTTTGGATAGAGAAAGTAAATATGTAAATGTGTTTTGGTTGACTATTCATATTTCTTATAAGTATCATATTTTTCTTTTTGTATTGGGCAAAGAGTTTGGGGACAGAAGAAAAAGAAACTAGTGCTAGGGCCAGTCCAAAAAAAAAAAAAGTAAAGAAAGAAAAGAGGGTTACAGAAGCATTTTTTAAAATGTACCTAAGAGAACTGAAAGAAGTTCAGAAACACAAGCAGTACAGCTTTGAAATTAACATATTAAATCTATTATATACTTCTTAAAAAAGCAAAATGCACATAAAAGATTTGTTTTTCATGTAAATCCTCTTTTTCTTTTCTATTTAGTATATGGAAATGTTCTGTTTGGGGCATTCATTAAATTCGAAACAAAAATTAAATTTAAAAAAGTATTAATTTATTGAGCCAATTTTAACAGGGAACAGAAATTAGGCCAGACATAAAAAAATATTGTATTCCCTAACTGTCAAGATAAAAATAGATTTGGGTATATTATATAACATGGTAGTTTTACAATGAGTTTTGATATATGCCTTAAAAAATGGAAAATGAGGGAGACTTTCAGAATGATGGTGGAGTGAAGAGTTCATGAAGATCTCAGCTCTTCAATTCCCTTCTTCACATCCACCACGAACAGATAAAAATACTCCCAAATAAATCAATGGGAGGAAGACAAGGAGTAACTAAACAAGTTCAAAAGAGAACAGCCTCTCAGTGAAGGAAAAAGAAAGAAAAAGAAAATTAGTAAGCAGAAAAAAAGATTCAAACATAATGGGCAAATACAAGTAAAAAGATCTTTAAAAGAAAGACAACAGAAGGAAAATAAGTTAATTTTAACAGTGGCCTGATTGAAAAAATCTAGACCTACAGTAGCATAAGACATATCAAATTAGATTTTACATAAGCAGCTAAGAAGAAACACATATTCAACGTACTCCAATCTGGACAATACAGGATTAGGTTTATTACCTGTCACAAGAAAAAAGAAAAGCTGGAATGTGACTTATAGACAAATTACACCATCCTAGAATTTTCTAGTCAGCTGAGCTAAAGAACAATATGCAAAGGGAAAAGAAATACATATCTTCAATCTCTCACAACATTTTCAGGTATTTTTATAAGAAAAATAAAAATATGCTGGAGTCTTTGATATACAAATCAACCCACAAACAAACCACCACAAAATTCAGGGGAAAATATATTATTTGAGAAAATGATATACAAATTGAGCGATCATCAAGTAAATGTCTGAATGACTAAGTCAATCACTCAACACGCATTTTTAAATGCCAACTATGTGCCAGCAGTGTCTTTGCTAAGCACTGGGGATACAAAGACAAAAGTGTAGCTGTCCTTGCCCTCTAGAAGTTTGCAGTTCTAACTGAGGAGACTAGACATACACATATACATATACACATAATAAATACAACATGAATTCAAGTTAATTTAGGGAAGGAGGAGGGAAGGGAGTGCAGATTCACTAGTAGCTGGAGATCAGGAAAAGCTTTATGTGGAAGATGGTGCTTAGCTGAGTCTTGAAGGAAATCTTAGATTCCTAGAAGCAAGGGTGAGGGGGGGGAGTGCATTCAAGGCATATAGAGTATTGTGTGTAAAGAACAAGGCCTGCATAGTTGGATTACAAACTGTAGAAAGGAAGACTGGGAAGGTAGGAAGAGGTATGGTCATAAAATGCCTTAAATGCCAAAGAAGTTTATATTTAATCCTAGAGGAACAAAAAGCAGATTATTGAAACAGTGTAAGGCAAGAGGTAAGAAGGGCCTAAAGGAGGGTGATGGTTGTATGAGGAGAGAAGAGGACGTAGGTGAGAGACAAGCTGAACAGTTTTGAAAGTACATGTTGAATTTTTATACACACACACACACACACACTCGATGTGTGTCTATATGTATATTTACATATTTTTTTAAGTAAGCAACATTAAATAGCAAACCAGTTTCAGAAACTCTTTTTATGTTCTAAGTATATAAAAACTCTCATTTTTTAATTTTTAAGTTCAGAACTTTAACTTATTTTTTAAAAAATAAAAAAAATTTTTTTTTGAAAAACGTGGAAAACAATGCTTTTATTGAGTAGGCCTTCCCAGTTTCATGGTAGATGGTTGGACAGGATTCAAAGTCTAATCTGGCACTGACTTTATGTAGTGAACTTAGGTGAATTTTCATTCCTCACCCACCAATCTGGACAGCTAAGCCCTAGAGTGAAATTCCAAAGCTAAGTGGACAGGATGACATCAAAAGGATAAGTTTAGAGAATGGTCACTAAGATAGTAGGTAGCAGGACAGACGGCAAAATGCCTGGATGTCATAGGTTCTATTGCTAGGGTTTTCACCTTCTTTGTGTCATGAACCTCTTTTGTAGTCTGGTGAAGCCTATGGATCCCTTCTCAGAATCATGCTTTTGAATGAATAAAGTAAAACACAGAGGTTTAGAAAGGAAATTAATGATACTGAAATATGAGTTTACAGACCCTAGTTTGGGAACCCTTAATCTAATGTATAGTTGAATGGGGTGATAGAAAGATGTGTAGGTTTACAATTTGAGGTGGGAGAAAGTTACGCACCCGATGGTTTCAGAATATCAAGGGTTCCTAACGTAATTTAAGACAAAGCTAAATTTCATATTAGAAACCACTGAAAGAGATAAACAAGGTAATATAGCTTGATGGAAGGAAACAATCTGGTAAAATGAAAGCTCCTTAAGTGAGGGAATAATCTTACTTTTTTGTCTTTGTATCCATAGCACCTGGTTCAAGATAGGCATTAATAAATATCTGCTGAATTGAACTGAACCACTGACAGCAAGTCTATCAATATTCAATATATTTATGCACCTCATAATGGCAAAGCAACCAATTTTTTTACAAGAAAGTTAACTGAATTTTTAAAAGGACCTAGATAGAAAATGGTAGAGATTTCATCACTCAACTTTGGGCACGTGATAAATCTCACACAAATAAGAAAAGTTACAAGATTGGACAAAATACTAAATGCTGAAATACAAAATACTGAAAAACAGATGTGAGAGCTATATGAAAGAAAATGAATGAGTTTATTATATAACTTACTTTTTATTCATATATTCATGGAACATTTACAAAAGTAACAACTACACCCAAATGACAAAGAATTTATAAATTAATGCAGAAAAACTAAACTTTTAAAAATTGCACAAGACAATCAAGCAAACATAACAGTAATCAATAAAGGGAAAAAAAGATCAAAAGATGAAGACCTAACTGGAAACAAAAAATTAGTTGCTTAGGAATGCCTGAGTCAAAGGCCAAATTATAGAAAAAAAATTAAAATCATATCAGAGGTAACCACAATAATAAAAAATTGAAATCTACTGAATGTGGTTAAAGTAATTCTCAGAGGCAAATGCATTTCCCTGAATGCTTCTATTAATAAAAGATGAAAAGATTAATCAATCAACAGGCATTTATTATGAATCTACTCTGTGCCAGGTACTCTGCTAGGTGCTGGGGATTCATACACAAAAAAACAACAGTCCTTGCCTGTGAGAAGCGTTTAAGAAATAAATACATAGTAAATGGGAGCATGGGGGGGCAGGGGATAGGGGAGGCCCTAGAAAACAGAAGGATCAGGAAAGGTCTCACCTAGGAAATGGTATTTCAAGTAAACACTGAAAGAAACTAGGGATTCTAAGAAGCAGAAGAAAGACAAGCATTCAAAGCATAAGGAAAGGTCTGAGCAAAAGCAATGAACCAGGAGATGGACTATTTGGCAGGATCAGAGTTCGTGTAGTGGAGTAACGAATAATAACCCTGGAAAGGTAGTTTGGAGTCAGGCTGTGAAGGGCTGTGAATGTCAAACAGAGGAAGCTGTATTTTATCCTAGATCACTGGAATTTACTGATCAAGAAAGCAGCATATATGGCCCAACCCGCACTTCAAAAATCTCTTTGGCAGAAGAGTCAACGATGTTGTAGAGGAGAACAAACAAAAACTGGCAATGAATTAAAGACATTTCATTTAAATATGAATGTGTCACCTAATTGGTAAATGTAAAAAATAGACAAATTTGTAAAATGGATAGGAGATAATGAGTTCTGTTTTGGACATGGCTGAGTTGGAGGTTATAGAACATCCAGTTCAAAATGTGATGCGGAGGTGAATCTTGGTAGGACTGGATCCGGGAGTCAGGCGCATAAAGATGACAAAACTCATAGGAAAGAAATAAAGGAGAGAGAAAAATAATGTCTAGGACAAAACACTGGGGCATACTCCAGTTATGGTGAAGGATACAGTTGACAATCCAGCAGAAGAGCAAGAATGATCAGTCATTTCAGAGGAGATACAAGTGAGAGAGGCCTCTGGAAAACACAGGGGAGAGAGTATACACAGAAGGAGGCAGTGGTCAACAGTGTGAAACGCTAGTGACATCAAGAAAGATGAGAACTGAAAAGGGCCTGAACTGATTCTGTAGTTTTTAAAGAGGAAAAAAAATTAACATGTTCAAAACTTA